TTTCTCCTTACAACACCCGCTCAGATGGGCTTCGTTACCCCAGTTTTCTAGATGGAGGACACTTGGCTAGGGCCACAAAGCTAACAATGATGTTAGGACTTGAACCCGAGTCAGTTGGCCCCAAAGTGGAATGTCTCTCCCGTAGATCACGCTCTGTCCAAGTCTTCGTGGACTGAGGAGTGTGAGCCTGAGGAGGCCTCAGTGAGGTACCCAGAGGGTGACTGGCTGCCCCGATTCTTCCTTCACAGGCCAAATGCTGTTTCATATCAGGGACAGTAAAGTTGGCTCAGCCTCCGTAGGCTTCGTCATGGCCCGATCGATGTGCTGCGGGAACCCCTAGCAAGGCCGGCTCAGATAGGAGCTTGAGCGGTCAGTGAGGTGCGAATGGCAGATCTCAAGGGATGACGTGTTGAGCCTCACCTGTGTTCTGAGGGAGCTCACCTTCTGCGTAGGGCTCTGTGTTTGGCTGTGAGTGTGCAAAATATTTTTCATGCTAAAAACCTGGCGTTGTAAAATGTAGAATTGCAGCGCGGAGGAATGATGCTAGTTGAGATCCCAGATTCATAAATTCAGCCTCTTGACAGCTAGGTCGTGCTTTCTGGAGTTCAGGGGGATATAAAAGTTGACACCTTCATATAGATCTATGTGGCGTTCGGCTGAATTGCAGTTGCTTTTAGAGCGATAACTTCGAATTGCTTGGTTTTGTTTTAAAAACAAGTCTATAGCAACGTGGGTGTTGGCTTATTTGGAAAGCAGGGGAATGAAGAGGGATTTGGAAGACGGTGCACATCCTTCGCTTGGCTTCTCTGGTGGTCTCGTGGAGGGGTCTTACCAGGTTGGCACTACCCCACAGCTTGTGGTCAGCCGTGGGCAACAGAGCCACGGACACAGGGCTCCCCCTTGGGGTCACCAGCAGGGCTGGGCCTGGAGGGGGCCGGATTCCAACAGACGCTGTTTAAACTCTGATTTGTTCAACAACTCTCTTGTGGGAGGGGGATAACCTGATGTGGCATCAAGAAAAACTCGTATGGGGCGCCTGGGTGGCTCAGTTGGTTGGGCGACTGCCTTCGGCTCAGGTCATGATCCTGGAGTCCCGGAATCGAGTCCCGCATCGGGCTCCCTGCTCGGCGGGGAGTCTGCTTCTCCCTCTCCCACTCCCCGTTTGTGTTCCCTCTCTCGCTGTGTCTCTCTCTGTCAAATAAATAAATAAAATCTTTAAAAATAAAAAAAAAAATAGGAAATTTATTACATGAAGGCATTACGTGAGATTCTCCAAGTCAGACAGTGGCTTGGAGGCATTATGTGGAGGCCTATGACACGATTGAAAATTTAGGTAGTAAAATCGATCGCCCATTTCCCAGTAGCACTTTGCGTGCAGAACAGAGTTCCAGAATTGCAGCTGCAACACCCCCAAACTTGACAGGCCTCCCCTCCAGTTGGTCTCGGAGTTGGTAGAAGGGCGAGGAGGTTGCGTCCCCTAGCATTTCTGTGTAACCCTGCAAGACGTCCTCAGCAGAGATGCCATCACACCAGCTGGAGAAGGAATTCTAAGTTAACTTCCTTGGGTTTCCACTTGTGTGGTGTTTTATGGAATGCCCGCCAGAGAGTTGTTCTCTTCGCTCTCCCTTTATCTGCCTGCGGTCACAGACTCAAAAACTAAAAAGATCAAAACCAGGGCGCCTGGGTGGCTCGGTTGATTAAGTGTCTGCCTTCAGCTCATGCCAGGGTCCTGGGATCGAGTCCCGCATAGGGCTCCCTGCTTGGCAGGGAGCCTGCTTCTCCCTCTCCCACTCCCCCTGCTTGTGCTGTCTCTCGATCTCTCTCTCTCTGACAAATAAAAATCTTTAAAAAACTAAAAAGATCAAAACCCTTCAAGCAGGGTTTCTCCCCTTGCTACTAGTGACATTTGGGGCAAATAGTTTTTTGTTCTAGGGGCTGTCTTGTGCATTGTAGGGTAGCACCACCACTATGAAGTGACAGAGATGTCTCCCGCATTACCAGATGCCCTTGGGGAGAGGATGTTCTGCGTTGAGAACCCTTTTCTTAGGGAAAGGAAGGAAGAAGGGCCGTTAACATCTGTGTGTGTGCAGCGCTCCCCCCCCCCCAAGATCTTTGTCCACAGGGCTGGGTTTTGAGTAAATCGTTCCCCAGACATGGAATTTCTAGCCACTTGACAAAAGTTAAGACTTTTAAGCAGTTTAATTTCAGAAAGATGTCTTTGATGATTGGTACTGAGATGAGGCATTAGAAGACCAGAAATAGCTCTTTTGGTTTTGGGGAGTTTTTCAAAGTTAGCAAATCAAGAGAGGTTCCAGAAGAGTTCTGTGACTTTTTCGGGAAATGCATTTCTGAGCAGGGTCAGTCTCGGACCACGTTTATGGTTCTTATGGGACGGGCTCCTGTCTGCTCTGGCATCTCTTCACGGGTAGAATGGGCAGTACTGAGGGTGCCGGCTGGGCCCTGTGTGCAGCAGATGGGAGGAAAGGGGCAGGGGCATCCCCTGCCTCCTCTGGGCAGGCTGCTCAGGCACTGCAGCCTGGGGGCAGGTGAATGAACATACATCGAAATCAAACTGTCAGGAGTGGATAAGGGTCCTTGGAGCAGGGGTTTTCAAACGGTGCTCTTTTAGCAGCTGTTATTACCTTTTCTTCAAACAATACGTGCAGAAACCCAATATAAAGAAAACGGGTCAGAGCCAAGTTTGAGGCCAGGGTGCAAGAAGGGGACCCACAGTCCCCCCATCCCTCACCTCACCTCGCCTCGCCTCGCCTCACCTCGCCTCTCCTCACTTCCAGGGAGAAGGCACTTTGCATTATACATCTGACTGAAAGTAGGCTAATGCTTGGTTGGGTAACGATCTTTTCCTTTTTTTCCTGACTAGATCTATCATCATTTTTTTCTATTTTGGGTTAAAGTGGTTTTCAAAACCATAATCCAAGATGGATATAATAATGCTGTTGCATTGCTGTTTAATTTTTCTCTCAATACAGAGGCAGATTCAAGGGCTGAGAACATACACACGTACATACACACACACACACACACACACGCACACATATATATGTTCATTTGAAGTATTTTGATATTCTCTTATGAAAAGCTTAAATATATAGAAAAATAGAGAAAAGAGAACTCCCCTCCCCCCCCCCCCCCCCCCCCCCCCATGTAACAGTTGTCATGATTTTGGTCACATTTGCTTCACATGTTTCCTTAAACTTCTAACAGATGAGAATTTTAAACGACATTCACAATAACAAGGTCTGGGAATATTTTTACCCAGTTCCCCTTACCCACCCCGCCTCCACTGCCCCAGTTCATCTCGTGGACCGACGTGATTTGAATTTAATTTGTGAAACCTATGTGAGGGAGACCAGTTTGATTCAACATGCAAGCAATCCTTTTTTTTTTTTTTACTTATTTTTTAAAAAAATTCAATTAATTAACATACAACAACATGCAAGCATTCTTATATCCATTTAGATTTTGGGGTGCCTCAACCTGAGCAAAACAAAACATACGGAGGACAGCTCCTACCCTGGGTTTTATTAGAAAATGGGAGTTCTTGAGTGGCCTCTCTGGGAAACGGGAAAATGAGTTAGTTCTGTGCCTTGCCTGCAAGGGCTGGGGGTGGGCAGGTAGCCGGTAGAGAAAAGATAAGGAAATCTCAGAAGGTGAATTCGGAGGTTTGGGGGAACAAGCCCTCCCGTCGTGTGGTGGTCCCATTCTTGAGTTGGCAAAGTGTTTGGTGCATGACGCCCCTGCAGACCTGGGGTCCTGGGCCCTCGGGAGCTGTGTTGTGTGCCTCACGGCTCTGGCATTGCGTGGGGCCAGCCTGCTGGGGGACCAGCTCCCGTGGGAGCCAGGTGGGTTATCACTACCTGCCTTGCAACAGGAGGCGTGGAGCCAGTGATCAGAGTTGAATTCCTTGTTTTCTTGGAGTTTACTCTGCTGTTTTTACAAAATAGCGCCTAAAAGGACGCAAGAATCTTACGTAAGAAAAATAGCCCATTGGGGGCCCCAGTTTACCTGACACCTTGCCCAGTTCCTGTCCCACATGCCCTCGCATCCTGGGTTTTCAACTCTCTCTTCATTCATTCACCTGCAGAAAGACTGGGTTGTTTGCACTTTTGATAGAAGTACGCCTTACATCCATAGTCCATTCCACATGGAACCATTTAGAATGATCCCTGCCCTGTGTTCATTTCTGTGTTAGCTGTTTTTTGAAGTTAAGGACTGCTCGAAAAGAAATAGTGTGACAGTGTAGAGGTTTTATGCTTACTTGACTTTGTCAGCTTGGAGATTGGTTAATCAGTAACTTCTTTTTAAAGATTCTACAGTAAGTGTGTTTTCAGGACAGAAAACAAACTTTCAGAACCTTAGATTTAGGCTTGGAAGTACAAGCCAGGTGATTTCTCACTAAGTTTAATTTTTAATAATGATTTTAATGGGTCTTCCTAACCAGGCAATAGCCTGATTCACCTAATGGAATAAATGGAATATAAATAAGTCTAAAAGAGCTTACAGGGCCCAGTTAATATGGAGAAACACAAGATTTGTTTTCAAATGAGCATACTACTGAAGTAGGCAGATATTCCTCTTGAATTTGTGATTGCTTTCAAATTGAACTACGTTCGTGAATTGGCGTCACGATCCCCAAAATACACGCTGACAAAAATGGTAATGCCCAATTTCATGCAGTGTCATTCACCTGTTACTTGCATGGCCCAGGGGAGAGGTGTGCAGAAGACATTGAGTTTCTTTTCATTAAACTGACCCTGGGAAAGGTAGGGGTGGCATTTCAGTAATAGCTTTCTTCCCAGAATGAATTGCTTCTTCCCTCACTTTACGAATTGGCAGAAGATATATGTAGGTTGGTAAATATTTTTGTGGTGTGATTGCTTTTTAAAATTGAATCGCAAGGCCAGTGCATACGTTGGTGGTGGGGAGAGGGGGAATGTTTACAGTGGCCCATGAGTAATTTTTTTCCCCTTCTTTGGCAGGAAATAACTACATGTTTACCAGATTATTACAAATGGACTCAGTACCTCTTTATTAAGCTCTATGAAGCTGGGCTTGCCTATCAAAAGGAGGTAAGTTAAAGTGAGCTGCACTGTACAGTTTTTGTAAATCTTCTCAGTCTTACTAGAGCACATCATGGTTAACTAAGCTATGAACCATACACAGAAGCACTGGAAATGAACCCTACCTCAAGTTCACGAATTCAATCATGGCAGACCCAGAAAGTATCTACTGCCTGGCTGAGTTTGGTACCTCCAGGACAGGCCTGGGGCTTCTGTCAGCCTTGAATTCCACCACAAAGTGTCTGGTGCCCATCATGACATCAAGGAGGGAGCATAGGAAGAGAGGAAGTTTCTCCAGTCCCAGCTCAGCTACCTCTCTCAGCCTGGGTAGCTTAACTCGAGGAATTGTGGCTTCTCACCTGCTATATGGGTGTAGCACCTCCCTTGCATGGCGTGGGGAAGATTCAAGGTGCTATTTAAAGAACAGCTCTTATAGGGGCGCCTGGGTGGCTCAGTCGGTTAAGCCTCTGCCTTCAGCTCAGGTCATGATCTCAGGGTCCTGGGATCGAGCCCTGCATTGGGCTCTCTGCTCAGTGGGAAGTTTGCTTCTCCCTTTACCCCTCCCCACCCCTTGCTCGTTCTCTCTCTCTCTCAAATAAATAAACAAAATCTTTAGAAGAAAATTATAATCAGTATGGAGACAAATGCAGAAGGCTCGATTTGAATTTCAGAATAAACCCAAAATGTCGTAAACCTTGACAAAATAAAAATCATATGGCTGACCTAAGTCAGGAGGTGAAATTGGGGAAGAAAAGTAGAAGCAAGGGTGAGTTGATCCCTTTATTTTTCATAACAAGGAGGCAGAGATGAAGAACTAGAGGTGTACATCTGTTTTTGTTTTAATAGTTAGAAAGGTAGCTATTACAGCTCAAGGTAACAAAGACCCCAAAAACTAGAAGAGGGTGGAAGGAAGGCTGTATGATCATGCTCTCTCATATTTCATGGCAGAGGGTCAGTAAAACTGGCTAAAGGTAATATGCCAAAATCGAAGTGTAATTTTACTAAAGTTACAATGGTAAACACCGGAAGAACTAATGGACAGAAGCTGCTCAAAGTGGGGGCATATTTTGATAACCATTCAGATTATTCATGAATGTTCTTTTTTGATACTACACCAAAACTCAGTAAGTGGTGGTTTCTTCAGAGTTAGTTGCAGTGTTAAATCTGAAACGTCAATTAACTTTTATACTCTGCTACATTAAAATGCATTGGTTTGTCCTGCACTTTGAATGGATCCCCCCCCCGCCCCCCCCCCCCCCCCCCCGTGCATCATCTTGTAACATCATGCATCGGTCACTTGGAAAATCTGGTCTAGTGAGTTATGCAGATCTTCCAAATGTTGCCATATTTCGTCTCAGAACACCATCGGAAGAGTTTTTAAGTGGTGGGAAGCTGTGAAGTTCATGGTGGGCGGATGCAAGTTTTCTAAAATTCTGATTTTTTTTTTTCCTTCACTTTGAAGTTCAAATTGTATCATTGGCAACAGAAACCATCAGTTGTTTTCCTCAGAGCAGTGGGCTCACTTTGTTTATTTTTGCGAGCATGTTTGCCAGGTTCCTGAGTCTCAATCACCATAGTTTATCATCAGTCATTCTTTCGCATAAAAACATAGTTACATGAAAAAAAAAAAACTGGCTAATCCTGCTCACCACTCGAACAGTCGCGTTTGTGCTTTTTCTCGAAACAACTGTCCCAACTCCGCTATGTGGCACCACTTAGGCCTACGTCCCATTTCTTCACAGAAAATATGACGAGGATGTATGCTCAAGTGTTAAGATTTAAGAACACAAATCCATTTTACTGCCTCGTCAAGCACATTATCAGTGAAGCTGACTTTTTTCCCCCCCTTTCTCCCGGGAGTGCACAGTGGTGAAGAATCCAGTGACCCCTCGTAGAGTTCGTTGCCGCTGCCTTGCTTCATGCTGAGGGCTGACGGTCTCACTCACCATCACTTCCCCACCCTCAGTGCAGATGTGAACACAGGGAAAAAAACAAACAGCGTCTTATTATTATAATGAAGAGTTTTGACCTGCAGACCCCTTGAAAAGGCCTCAGGGACCCCCAGAGGTCACACTTTGAGAACCACTGTCCAAAGTAAACAACCCTTACCCCTGTTCCCGTCTTTAAATTAAGAATATTAAAAGGTTGATTATTTAAAATACGTTGTTGTTGAGTTGAAGACTTGAGTCCCCATTAGCATTTGGGATGAATTGATTGAGAATTTTGTGGAACTGGATCATACTGTCCTGGGTTAGTTTAATTTCTTAAAACAGCATAGCTGTTCCTGGGCCCAGAGCCCCCTCAGGTGAGGAATGGTGAGAGACGAGAATACCTGTCCAGAGTTCCTGCCCACAGCATATCTTTTTGCATTGTTAAAGCATAGTTTACAAAAGTTACAAACCTGGTTCCCACCCAAATACAAAATGAACATGCATCAGAGATTTTATCCAACTCATTAATTAGTTAGGAAACCAGTCGTATGTTAAGACTGGTTCAAATCGAGCTTTCAAGGAATGGAGACTAATAGAGTCAGAGGAACACTGAAATGAATCTGCTAATAGAATCCAAGCCACTTAACGTCCTACAAGACCGTAAACCTAACTTTGGGAGCTGTCTTTGCTAAGATTTTGCATTGCCACTGGATGGGAGCTGTTGGCATTATTCTCAGACAGAAACCATTTGCATTGGGTTGAGTTTTCTACAAGTTAACCTCTCCCCTTGCACCCAGGCGGGATTGTAAAACAGCTTAAACAATAGTAAATAGGAAGTCAGACAAAGATACCTGCCTCTAGAAAATCAGATCATCCCTGGGGGATGTGGGCCCGCTAGACGACCCCAGCCCACATGGAAGGGACCTCCTAGTCCCTTTGGTCTGTTTCTAAGATCTGGGTAATTTTTCTTGGGAGCATTATTCAGTAGTCAGAAGTAAAAGGGTAGGAAAAGAATCAGTGGAAAATTATCAGAGTCCCACTTCCACTCAACAGGTTTCGGTACTGACCTGGCAGCCTGACAGGCGCATTCCCAGAAGAGCCTCCCTTGCTCCAGGAATTACATCCAAAAAGGGTTTCCACACTGGCGTCACCCATGGGTCCAGGCAGAGGGAGAGAGATAGCAGGAGCTACATTGTGTTTCCCAGGTGACAGCAAGGATGAACTCAAATCCGAGTGAGGCATGAAAAAGCCATAGCAAAGCGGAGGGTGCACTGCAGCTAAACTGTGGGGAAGAGTAAACAGTTGTTGGAAGAGTGTCAGCAGTTGTATTGGATTACCCAATGTTCCCTCGCCTCAGTGGTGTGGTTACTGTTTATTGTATATGCATGGGATGTTGAAATGATGGGGCACGTTGACTTAATAGCGTAAACATTTCTCACACGGAGCCCTTACGTGTGCCGTGTGATATTCCTTCATAGGATTTTATTCTTTGTAGCTATTTATTTTCTGTTTCAGTTGAGTTTGTGAATATACTGAATATTTATCGTGGTATTCCTGTACATAGGATGCTTGTTTCTCTGTCTCTGCACTCGGGGTTTGTTCACGACACCTCTGTTTTACAGCACATCAAACCCAGATAGGAAACTGAACCTCGTCACTGTTGGGTTGGATCCAAAGCCAAACATGCAGCATCTTAGGAGCTAAGTAACTTTTTTAAAGACGGAAGGGGTTCTGGGGGAGAGTCTCATTGCATGGACACAGCTGTCCTGCTGGCTCCAGATGTCTCTCTTCTCCTAACCTCGATCCCCCTCCATGACGCATGCCTTTGGGGATTACAGTCCAGTTTCCCCACTGACAGCTTCTCTCTTAGGAACACCTTGTATTCGTTTCCTATTGTTGCTGCTGTAACAAATGACCACAAACAGGGTCGTCTTAAAACAACACAAATTTTTAAATTTTATTTTGTTATTATGTTAATCACCATACATCATTAGTTTTTGATGTAGTGTTCCATGATTCATTGTTTGCATATAACACCCAGTGCTCCATGCAGAACGTGCCCTCTTTAATACCCATCACCAGGCTAACCCATCCCCCCACCCCCCTCCCCTCTAGAACCCTCAGTTTGTTTCTCAGAGTCCATAGTCTCTCATGGTTTGTCTTCCCCTCCGATTCCAGCCCCCGTCATTCTTCCTCTCCTGCTATCTTCTTCTTTTTTTTTTTTTTTTTAACATATAACGTATTATTTGTTTCAGAGGTACAGGTCTGTGATTCAACAGTCTTACACTTACAGTTCACAGCGCTCACCATAGCACATACCCTCCCCAATGTCTATCACCCAGCCACCCCATCCCTCCCACCTCCCCCACTCTAGCAACCCTCAGTTTGTTTCCTGAGATTAAGAATTCCTCATATTAGTGAGATCATAGGATACATGTCTTTCTTTTTTTTTTTTTTTAAGATTTTATTCATTTATTTGAGACAGAATGAGAGAGAGAGAGAGCACATGAGAGGGGGGAGGGTCAGAGGGAGAAGCAGGTTCCCCGCCGAGCAGGGAGCCCGATGCGGGACTCGATCCAGGGACTCCAGGATCACGACCCGAGCCGAAGGCAGTCGCTTAACCGACTGAGCCACCCAGGCGCCCAGGATACATGTCTTTCTGATTGACTTACTTCGCTCAGCATAACACCCTCCAGTTCCATCCACATCGTTGCAAACAGCAAGATTTCATTCCTTTTGTGGCTGCATAGTATTCCAGTGTGTGTGTGTGTGTGTATACACACAAGAAGATGTGGTATATATATACAAAACAACACAAATTGATTGTCTTACAGTTCTAGAGGTCAGAAGCCCATGAAATGGGTCTCACTGGGATAAAAAGCAAGATGTCAGCCAGGCCGCCTTCCTTCTGGAGACTCTAGAGGAGAATCTGATTGCTTGCCTTTTCCGTCTTCTGGAAGCTGCCTGCATTCCTTGACTTTTGACCCCACTTCCCTCCCCCTACCCCCAATCTTCAAAGCCAGAGCATAGCATCTTGCAATCTCTCTGCCCTGGGCTTCCATCCTCCCATCTCCTTCT